GAGAAGAGAAAGAGAGAGAGAGAGATCAATGATATATCCCACAGCATGAAGGAGCTAATGAAAAGCTCAGTAAATGACAGTAAAATTATCAAAGTCGAACAACGAAAAAAGAGAGAAAAACGAACCTGTAAGTTGTAGGGCCAGTTTGGTTTAAAAACCAAATAGAGGTGAAGCTGATGGCGAGACCAAGTAACCCACTAGCAGTTGTCACCACCCAGAACACGGGCGTACTAATCACATCTCTATCCAAGGCAACAAAATAAAATTATGTGAACACAAATCTCTATTTCATTAGCACATCTACAGTAAGTACCTTTGACCTTTAGGACAGGGAGGTTGCTATCAGCCTTAGTTGTTAGATGTAAAATCGGGTGGCTGGGAGTGTACCACTGACTACAATAGGAGCACCACTGACTACAATAGGAGCCTGAGAAAACTTTCCTCGGATTACGGGAGAAAAAGGCACACTCCGGCCATTCAACTTTACATCCAACAGCTTGAGGTATTTGTGACCTTTTCATATGAAAAGTACTCATCTCATTGCATGTGACCCCTATTACATAGCATTTAAAGTCATAGCATATAAATCAGATCATCAGAAGTGGAAGATCGTCAGAAGTGGCAGACGAGCACTTACAAGCCAAAAACATATTCCCATTCTCTAGAGAGAATGATCAGGAATAAGGCGAAAGGTAAGGAGAGTGAATTGTTGAGCAACACCATTGATACTTCATTTAGAGTTCCGGACTTTGTTGTTTGCTTTGCTATGTCCATAATCCGACGCAATGTCAGCTGTCATAGAATTGGCGTATGCAAGGTTACTTTCGCAGCATTTGAACCTTAAATCTTTGTAGGAGGGGAAAAAAAAACAAAGAAAGTTTAAATCCTCATAAGGCTTTTCAGCCTCTCCAAAAAGACAGCTCGCAAAATTTGCATCCTCGTAAGACTCAGATGCCATTTTTCGGTTCTGCATATTCAGAACCACATCACAGACCTTTCTGAGGAAATGGAAAGTGTATAACCCAATGGACAATGGGATAACCTGGGTCCAATGGATCATGACTATAAAATGAAATGATGGAATTTGTGCCAGAACAAGACATGACCCCATTGGTAGGTACCCTACTCCCTCCACCATCCATTAGTTCATGGGACGTTAATAACCCAACAGGCTATGCTCTCCCCATAGGCCTTTGACGTATACTCTCCCCTTGTGAAGAAAGCCAGGAAATGTGAATCAAATTGAAACCACAGAAAGGTGATAGAACAAAATAGAACAATCTAAGACAGAGATGCATCTCTAATGGAAAGGAAGACCAAAAAGAATCCAACTACAAAGATACATACAATCTCTCCCATATAATGTAAATAAGAAAGGCTGTTTCTCTATATGTAAAATGGTCTGATGCTTCAGGTCATCCTATGTGGATGATTATATTTGCTTGGGAATATTTTTTATGGAAAAGCTCCAAAGTATCTCTTAAGAGTTATTTTCCAACAGAAATGCTTCCTACCTCTTAGTCTTTTTACCAATGGCTTCATTGTAATAGTAAAATACGAATAAAAGATAAAGAACTCATGAGCTCTTTCGTTGTGTATTCTAAACACTGTTGGGAACAGCTTTACACATACCCACCCATTTGTAAAAGTCATGGCAAACAGTGGTGCATGGACCACCAACACATTCTTAGCTCTTCTCAAAAGCTGGTCTTTTAAACCTATGCTTAAAAAGCCGTTCCAACTCGAGTCATCCACAAGCAATTTGAACAGGGACCTAACTTTCTCAACAACTTCTTCACTAATTTCTGTTTCCTTTTCTTACAATCCTTCAGTTTTATTTATATATGCCATTGATGTACTGAACTCATGTTTCCATAATGTAAATACGAATAGATATTAATATCCTGTTATTATATTCTTCTGATGATGAGGTTTTCTTTTATTTGAAAGTATATTCATGATATTTTTCCCACTAAAAGCGGGAAAATTTGCCAAAAATTTTACTCAGTGATTTCTTTAGTCAGCCCATCAAGGCATTTGGAAGCAATGTGACATGCAGTACGTATCCACTGTAATATATATGTTGTTGTATTGCTAATTACTATTCTTTCCCCTCTTATTTTTTAAATGCGATTCTCAGACTGGCTCACAAAAAGAAAATCAGCGCGCATGATACAATCCATCAGCAACCAATAGCAAACATCTTAAAAATTGCATCTCTAGATACTAATAAAGGACAATACCGATGTTAAAGACACTTACTGCATAGCTTGCAGTAAGGATGCAATTCAATGCTTGCCATGCATAGCCCATTCCGTCAAAAGTAAGATCTGTGATGCCTCCACTTATAGCAGATATTATCTGCAAGAATTTAATGGAAAGTAATCAAGCACAAAATCCCTACCTGCTTTAAATTGATTTGTAAGAACCTGAAAGCTAAAGGCCTAAAACCTAATCTCTCTCTTTAATCGTCAACAAAGTTTAACCAAGGATTCTTTGGGAATCTCATTAAAATTCATCCCCCAAGAAAACACAAGAATTACAACAATCGGTTATGAAGAACATGAGAATAATTTTTATAACCAAAAAAATAGGAACATACCATAAGAACTAAAGCAGCCCAGACTTTTGCATTCTGATGCTTCCTAAACATATATATTTCTCCAATTGCTGTCAAGATATTTGTCACATTCTTTAAAATTGTCACCATGGCAATATTTATGTACTTCAAACTGCAACATATTAAAAAATGCAAATATAAAGAAATCAACGAACAATAGAAGAGGAATGCAACAGTTTGAAATGCAACCATGAAACATAGATCTATATGAATTATGAACTCATTTTTTTAATGCCTCCTCATTAAACCCATACATATAAACACCTCACAACAAGCTTTTACCAGCTGATTTTGAGGGAAGTTGTATAATGTCTATTCACTAAAGCGTTTCTACAATTTCATTATACAGAACCAAAAGAAACGTTAGAGTTTTTTACCACTAAGACCAATATCCCGCATTTGCCCCGAAGTACTTAATGGGCCAATCAGGTCAACCCTAAAAATCCCAAAGCTCATGTTTGAAGCTTCACTTGAAGCCAGCATTGGAACAAAAAGAGCACTCTAGGGTGCAAGGTTTTGAGATGTTGTTTCAGTGTTTCTCTTTTAAATTGAAGGCCCTCACTAGATTATAAAAACAATTCACTTGTGCCTAGGTGACATGTGATCCATTAATTTTGTAATTCACAAACTATCAAATAATTTTTCTCTGACAATTCTCATTGAAGACATAATAATATCCACGATATCCTTTCGCATTGCACGAAAGATATCCAAATGACAACTCAAAACTATGCATTAGATGCATAATTCTGAAGTTTGATAAATTATCTTATGTATTTAATCATGGATTCATAAACTATCTAATCAACAGGAAGCCACTGTCGATCAGGTTCAATACCAGGCAAAACAGGTCACTTAATTCATGACATCTTGTCACATTTGATGATTATATGAGCTTTTCCATCACTCGTTTCAGATAAATAATAAATACGATGTTTCTGAAATGTTTGGTTGGTTTCTACATGCCATAAGATTTTCATACTCCTATGAACATCTTATTTGGATAAGCTGCTCTAACAAACAATTTTGACAAAGAAAATCCACCCAACCCAGATATTACCGCACCTGTACATGCCTGTTACGAGCATACCAACAAATATTATATTGACGGGAGTCCAGACGCGAATCAGCTTCCAAGTGATCTTTTCAGTTGAGACTAATCCAGTGAAACTCAATGCAATAACAACTAGGACACTAACAAGATTCTGCAACACGTAAATAAAAACAAATTCTCAGCACAATTACAGGGAAGGTTTGTATAAGGCATCAACCTAAATTAATCAAAGTAAGGTGCATCTCAAAACTATGCCGAAAAATGCACTTTCGGTGCCGGAAAGCCTTGTGATGGCATGAAAATCTATCATCAGTCCTAATTATGAAATTTAAAGCTCTAAAAATGGTGCATGTCAAGTAGATCTATAAACAATTCTAAAATTTGAAAATAGATGGTCCAGCACACACACGTGCCAGCATACACTCATGTGCGCATGCACATGGATGCACACACACACACACACACACAAAACACCCCCTTCCCCTCCCCGACATCTTAGGGCTGCCCAGGTATCTGGGCGCCAGACTAGGCAGCCGCCTAGACGGTCAGGACCCCTGGCTGCCCAGGCAGCTACCTCCGCTTTTTTTAACACTGATGTCATTTACTTGCAGTGACAATTTGTCGGGGGGCCATTCCTCACAATTTTTTGTGCACCTTCACTCCTGATTCACTTGATTGCAATATCATAATTCTCATATGGTTTACTGAGCATCAAAAAACAAATTATAATGAAGTGGATCGTCACTTTATTTAAGATGAGAAACTTGGACCAAACAGTTTTCCAGTAATTGGCCGAAACAGTTAAATTGTCCTGGTGAGAGGATTACTAGAGAAGAGAAAATGACTTCCTAGAGTATCAGGATAATACCTCAAAATACTATAAACAACAAGGAAGGTGAGAAAAGCTCAAATAGAAATATTAAACAAAGGTAGTTCTCTGTATCATGTGACCAGATGGAGAAAGAGAGAGAGATATCTTCTGACGCCCAGCCGTAGTTTAAAAGAGCGAGTTGATCAGGAGGGCCTAATTTCAATTTCAAACTAACCAATTGGTTTCCAGGTATTTTATAATGAAAGATCTGGCAAAAATGGTTTGTCCAAGCAAAACTGGAGAGGATCAAATGGGAAGTGCTGCATATGTGACCATTCCCATATGTGCATTCCTTTATGAAAGTAACCATATCAATTAGAAATAAATTGAAGGAATCAAAGAAGACTTGAGCTTCACAAATATACGTCATGTCAATTACCTGGTAAAACATTAGTGATACTCCTGCATTGAATCCATAACTTGAAAGGACAACCTTATTAAGTAATATCATGCTGCAAGAGGAAAGACAATACGCTGCTCCAGATATAAAGGCTTTGGATTTTCTTTCAGATCCACGATGCCCTTTTTCTGTTTCATTCTCTACCCCATCGTTCTCTAGGTCAATATCACTGGGTCCTGCGTGGGTTTTAGTTAATGATCTGCATACAAACAGAACAACTCTTATTTGTAAACCTACTTGAGTCCATACATAAATTATTTAATTAAAAGCACTTTGTTCGCTCACTGGATATTTCTAGATAGTTAAATTTGCACCCCAACATGGTCTCTCGAATCCTTGCAAAACCAAATGGTGTTCATTTTCCAGTAATCATAAACACAAAATAAGAAGCATGTCCAGAAAAGTTCAAGATGAACTATAATAATGGCCAATGGAAATCACATAGTAAATTTCTTCTAGATTTTTCTCACATACTGCTATTTTAAATTTTTAATCCCAAGCAATCAAGGAACATATTGATACAAGATAATAAAAAATAACAAAGTCAACACCAGAGAGTTGGCTATTAAATATAACACAAACTCATGGAAAATGTGCACCGCTAAACTGATTAATACTAGACATAAATATGGAATGCCACCTGTAAGCTGTTGCTCTTCTAGCAATATTGGTTGGAAGGTTGATGAATGGTCCTTGCTTCAGAAAATTATGAATAATCTTGCAAACAATGTTATCTCTTTCTCCGTTTGTTACTGCCCCATTCATATCAGATAAATCAGCTTTCTCAATATCCTGGTCAGCAATTGGATCTGATGCACCATTCAAAGTCATGATTCACCCTGCAAAAAGATGCATCATAACATCACACTCAGTACAATAAGAAATTACCAGTGTGGCAGTGTGTTCAACTGCCAGCACCCAACACAAACTCTTGCCAATAAGGAATTCTAGCTTGGCATAGAAAATTGTATAATGAAAACTGCAGTCTCAAGTCCCTCACAGTTATATCCCAGCCGACAAAAGTGGTTTATCCTTTAATGTTCGTGGATTTCAACGATAGCCACGATATGGGTCAATGAAATATAGAAGAACAATAAATTGGTTTCATTTTCTATACTTCTGAGGTTATCTTCTTCACGTATGTTTTATTCATCCAAAATTGACAATTGACTGATCTAACTCATGATGCCAAAGTATTCAGATAACCAACCACATGGTTTTCTTTACAACAAATGACCGGGGAACAAATACAGAAAACTGACCTCAATCTCAAGCAAGAGGCAGCATCATGCCAAACCCTTGGTTTTGAAGCACCAAGTGCCTTAACTTCCCAACATAAGGGTAATGATATTCAGTATCAGAGTTGACCTAGATTCCAAGCCCATAAATTAATAGAATCCCTCTGAAAGTTCTCGACCTTCACTACTTCCAGGGATACACAGGTCACAACTCATAAAGGCTCAAAATCCCAATCTCTGAAAAACATCTACTGAATTGGAAACTCTCAAGAGCTGTTTCAATCTGAAGCCTGCATTTAGTAGCAGAGAGATATTAAAAGGGGGAGCAATGAAATTGAACATAAAATCATCCATTTGCAGTCAGAGAATATAGGGATGAACTACAATTAGAATGCATCCCAAGAAGATCTTTAAGTAACCTAAATGCCTTTTCAGTTTTGACATTCCGAGCACATGAAATGCCCATCAAATGTGTTTGGAAAAAAAAACGGGCTCATTAGAGGAACTTGGGAATTCAAGTCAATAAAGTGATTTTGGGAAGTACTAATGCTTCACATGACAGAGAAAGGATCACAAGAAGTGCTCAAATACCAAAACCTACTAAGCAAGCAAGGATATCATCAGCCGCAAATCTCCATTAATGAAACAAACCCTTGCCTCAATGGATGATCAGCAAAAACTGCAGTATCACTAAAATAACCAAATAGTGAGCTCAAATATTCGAGTTTTAGCTTCATTAGGAGGATTCTTGTTCCTTGAATGTTATAAATAATCGGCCCAAAACATAGTCAAAGCTCTTGCAGTCATCCCGAAGCTTCTTATAAAGTGCAGAATCAACAAGAACTAATAAACAATTTGCCTAAATAGGGACTAAATTTTCAAGGGAAAACATAATTGGATGAGATCAGCATTAGTTACACAGTAATTGACTAAAGGGTCATAATTATGTATCACTACATCCATCAGAAAAACGAGTCTTTGACACAATCAGAAACATTTCCAAAGTACTTAAGTCCTATAAAACAACCATTAATCTCGCACTTCTCGTGAAACCTTGCCCCGAGTTAATGATCAGCCAGAAATCAACATTGCTGCTCTGGAAAACTCACTGTATTAGAAAATAACTGATATTACACAGATCAATAATTACACAAACCAAAAAATGTCACTAAATCCGGTAAAATATGTTCCCAAAAAATACATTAAATATTATCAGTAGGAAATAAAGCTAAAAGACACTAAACCTAAAAGACACCACATCTGGAGTAAAAAAACACCATCAAACATTAAGGAATCAGAAATTTCACAAAAACTAGCCATTAAACCTGGTCCAGAAAGTGTTCTCAGGTGCAAAAGTTTTCTGCGAAACTATTCTAAGTGGATATTGCGTTTGTTAAAGCAAAGTCACGCAAGTGGCGTGAAAATACGGTTTTTGTTTCAGAAAAAGCAAGAGAAAAGGCGAGCTAAAGGGCACAATATTCGAACCAGTGGACTTACTGGTCACGTAAAGGCGAGGTAGGCAGCGCAAGGTATGGATCTGATCGCCAAAGCTCGAGAAAAGCAGAGCACCGCCATGGCCAAGCTCCTCCATTTTAATGGAGAAAGCTCTGATCCCGATGCATTGGAGAAAAACCCCAAGTTTCCTAAGAATCCGAGATTCTAGGGAAAAAACAAACGGCTTAGAGAGTTGACACATGGCTTGTTCGAAGCTTTGCAAATGCTCTCTGTTCGCTCTTTAATGGCTCACGCTAAGTCAAACGCTCCATTAAAGCACCTCGAGATCGAGAGTTTCTTCGAGATTCAAGTTTAAACTCTTTTTCATTTATTTGTTGTTGGTGGAGATCCCGGGTTCCTTCAAAATTCAACCTGAACATGCTTTGTCTCACTCTCAAATTTTGTTTGCTTCTGATTTCTTTGAATAAAACAAGCAAATTTTCAGAGATGGAATAGAACGAGAACGTTATCGTTTGTGCACAAACGTCGTAAGTATCGCCTGCCGTTAGATATAAAATGGGACGGCTGATAGTAGGCGTGGCAATGTACCCAACTAGACACGGCACCCAACAACACGTAGGACCGGGGACCTGACGTGTGGACCGAACTTAGGTCTAGGCGTGGGTTCAAATTTTGGACCCAAAAAGTCGGGTCAGGGTCCAAAAACCTTAACCCAAGTACTATTCGGGTCCGGCTCTAGGAGAACCTGACCCGAACTTGACCCATTGGCACCTACACATCCGGCAGCTCGATTTCTCATCTAGGGGCTATTATGACCCTTTCCCAATAGGATTGTGGTTTATATTGTTAGTCAATCAACCAAAATAAGATGCATTTATAAGTCTTGTTCAAAGATGTAGTTTTGGTGTCAGAAACCCTTATGGTAGACTAAAATTTTATTTTTATCCCTAATTATGAAATGTAAAGCTCTAAAAATAGTACGGATTGAACACATTTACAAATACTTGAAATTTTTGAAAATTGACAACTTTTTTACAAGATGAACAAAAAGAACATGAAATCCATATTTTTCCATATCCATCTATCTCGACTTCTAGATGATCAATATGAGAGTTTTTCAATGTCTGAACAATTTTTTCGAGTGGATTTTTGAGGTGGGATTTACTTCTATTTATTTAAGAGACCCGGTTTCTATGCGGCCAAGCCCGCATATGTATAATTGCGGGCCTCTTAATAAATCTATTTTTGAAATAGATTTTAAGACTTAATTTTTAAAGACATACAAGCTCTAACATGGAGATCATGAATATGAAAAAATAAATAAATTTTAAAAATTAAAAATAATAATTCTAATAAGAAAACATTTAGACCGTTAGTTTCTAATGCTTTTAGATTAAACACCTACTTACGTCCATCTTAAATACTTTACACTTACTAGACCGCATACACTTACTAGACCGCATATGTAGAAATGCGGTCCAGCCACATAAACAATTTTATCTAAAGTTCTAAACCAATCTTCATGAACAAACCAAACACACACCATCTTTTAAGATAAGGGGCAGCAATAGACCGGGTGGCCGGCCCTAAAAAATTAAGTCCTGGGCCACCAAATGTGGCTGTGGGCCACGGGCCCTTAAATTTTTCATCAACCCTATCTGCGCTCTGAGCCAGCCCTCAAGGCAGTAGGGCCGGGCCAGCGCCTCAGGCCCGTTGCCACTTTTATTTAAGACCAAACTTCATTTACGATAGACATGCATATTTTCCCTCTCATAAGATCAATCATGAAATCTCTCTCTCTCTCATCTACTAACGCACACTCGCTTACATGCAGTAGGGTGCATCGTTGGTTGTAAGTGGAATATAGCTGATTTCACCCAAAAGAATTTGGTCCAATTTTTTATGGCTTCGTAAGTCGAGAATTTGTAAAATAATTGTGATAAAAATCTATCAAAAAAGGTTATTTCGATGCTGAAAAACATTCTAACTGATCTCAACCTCGAGATATATAGATGAGGAAAAACAAAAGATTTTAAAGTTCCAAAAATGGTATGTATTGTAATAACATTATTTATCCTGTCTGTTATCAAGATTTTCATTTGTTTATCGATCTCCTCGATCCGTAACATTTTTTGAGTTTTTGATGCAATAATTAGATGAGAAGTAGATTTTCAAGTCATCATTCAAATTTTCTAACCAAATGAAACGAACTGTGGAGGTGTTTTAGGTCCAACACCTTATATACAAAGCGCACACATTTTCCGAAGTATGTCCAAATCTCAATATGGCAAACAGGGAACAATTTGTAGAGCATTTATTATATGTAAATCAAAGCTATTAAATTGGAATAATAACTTTTGCTATTTCAATTTTGATGATATTAGAAACTCTTATCAACTTTGTCATTTCTAAAATATTAGTTTTTCATTGTAGTTAGTTTGAATTTATATTCACCGGTTTCAATAAAAACTTTTAGTAATAAATATTATATATCTGACATATTAAGGGAAAGTATATAATGAGACGATTTACTTTGATACAAGGTCGTTACAATTGATGTTGACTATTGGATGTGAAATTGGGTGGTGGCTACATTTATTTCATTGACCATGCTTAAAGTTTAAAAGAAATTTTCTCGAACTTTATGACACATCTAAGTTATGAAATTTCACATCGGATGGTCATAAATAATGGTAATCTCTATGTACCAAAGGTAAATGGTCTCATTGTATACAATACTATATATTAAAATCCTAGTGATGTCCAATAAATTCTATATTAAAAATACAAAAATGATAGTATCCTGATAAAACCCCCAACCAATAATTTCCCGCAAATAATAATTACAACTACTATCATCATGGTTTTAAAAAAGCTCCAAAACTACAATTAACCGTTTAGAGCCTGTATGGATAGTTAATCTTGTCTAGAGTACTCTAGCTTTATCTAAAATTAATATACTATAATATTACTTTTTAAGTTGTGGCTCATGTAATATGTATAATATTATTTAATTGTTTAACATTTTTCTAACTATTTTATTAAAAGAATGATAATATCATCAAATTACTTTGAATAAAACAAAAATCCCTTTTCAAAATGATAAAATTGTATGTAAAACTGCGTAGAAGTTTATTTCATATAACTTTATAATTGACATTAATACACAATACATAATTCATTAACATGATTAATTTTATTGAAAACAGTGAATTATCAACAATAGCAAGTGCCTTAATAGAAAAAAAGAAACATATACTACATGACTATTATCTTTTGATATAATAATTTCATAATCACCCTCAACCATCAGATGCGTGATTGGGATGAACTACCTACATCAACAAAGTTTCACATCTAATGACCTTGTACAAAAGGTAAACAATTTTGTTGAATATTTTCTCTAAACAAAGATTTCATTATTTACTTCCTTCATAAAGAATTAACGTGTGCACATTAACATTTCCCTGATTAAGATTTTTATAGTGTCTTTAACTGAAAATTGCCTTCAAAAAATATTATTTTCATCGTACTAGCTCAGGAGGAAGTATTTTATGTGTTTAAGAAACATGGGTCCTCAAAACATCAAACCCCCATATTTAACTGGACATGACAAAGAGGACCGAATAAAAAGCTTAAAAGGAAAAATATAAAAAAGAGACTTTACTTTTAGCTAAAGGAGGACCCGATCACTATGGTCCTTTATATTTAAAATCAAGCTGCTGTGAACATGTCATTAACTAGATTCAAAATTCAAAAAAAAATTTCAACTACAGACACACCTTAAGTTCGAAAAAAATTCTCAACTACAGACAAACCTTAAGTGCCAAAATAATTCTCAACTACAAACACACCTTAAACCACCCAATTTGACATTTAGTGGCTAGAAGTAATTTGTAACGTCCATGAAAAAAAAGATAATGGCCTCATTGTATACAATCCCAAAACTAAAAAATGGCCAAATTTTTTTTCAAAAAATACCATTTCAAGTCTAAATTTTATTTATTTTCATATTGATGATCACCATGATAGAGATCATAGATCCTGAAAATTTGGATTCAAAATCCATGCCTAAGATGGGTTATGGAGGGAGGACACACATGAATAAATGAGTCAGAGGACTCATCAAAGCCGGACCCTTAGAACGAAAAGGACAATGGAAAACCATAGTTCACTGGGGTGGTCCGATGGATGATTATAGAGAGAGACTCCGAGCACCAAAACATGTGCCAATTGCGGCTCCCTTATCTCCATCACCATACATCCTTTCATCCGATGCTCATTACCCAATGGACTATAAAGTTTCATTTTTCTTTTCTGTTACCTTGTTCTACAAATTTTAAACACGTTATAAGTAGCTGAAAATCTGAAAAAGCACCAGACAAAGCTGAGGCAATAACTTGCTAAATTGCTTCTAACCCAATATGAATGAATAACTGAGGCACTAACTTGCTAAATGGCTTCAAACCCAATATGAATGACTATAATAGGAATACATAATTTGACAATTTATGATACAAGGGCACGTAGAAAAACTGGAAAATGCCCCCTCGCTCACTCTTAATTAATAACTACCCTGGAAAATGTGAATGTTTACCAAAACCATCTTCGGCGGCTATCGACAGCCTTCACACTACTCTCTACCAAGGGCATATGTCCGTACTCGATGACAAATCGGTTGACACATTGAGATCTTCGCTCGCTATGCCCTTGCAAGCTGCTAATCCCAGTGGACCCGATCTCAAATATCTTACCTGCGTAATACACATATCATAAAACCTTTACCTACCTTTTCTGCTCCTTTTAGTCATGGGAAACATTACAGCAGAACTGGTAGATGTTATATTTTCAATTGATCATTTTTTTTTGAGATAATACATCATTGAAACCATTGATCACTTTGGCAGAATTATGTTGATTAATAATAACTAAGAGAAAACAGCATCTACTGTATTGGTAACTGGTCAGTTTAAATGAGAAGAAAAATGAAAAAGAAAAATATAGATTTGTTGTAGCTGCATATTATTGGCAAATTTATTAGAATTGCAAAGCTTTGAAACATGGAATGTTAGCAACTCAATGCGAAGAAAAAAACACCATCGCTCTAGGAATGGGCTCAAAGCTAGGTGGTGAGGGTGGCAGGCACATCTTGAGCTCCTTTCTTACCACGAGAAATGACCACCTCCGCATGGAACAAACACCCCCTTCCCGCACAACCAACAACAAAAAGAACCAAAAAAAACAAAACAACCCCCAAAAAAAAAGAAAACACCATCTCAAACTTTGCATATGTATCAGTTAGTCAAAGGAAAAAGAAAGGAAAGGCATAGATTTGTTTGTAGCTGCATACTGTTAAAAAAATTATAGAATTTGTTTAAATGTGGCCAACATTTTAGAAAACGCAAATTACACCTATGGATTGTTGTCTACAAGCTGAAAGGCTGAGTCACCTACCTTGCACCCATATAGGAGGAGCACCAGTAGCATTTGCAACAAGGAAAGACATTGCAATATCTTCACAATTCCTGATATTAGAATTCCAAATTTACAATCAAGAAAATCATGACAGCCCCATAATGTGACTACTAAAGATTCCAATAACCATAAAATTCAAGGAAGGTAAACCGCGGCCCACTCGACCATGAAAAACCATAATCCTTTCTTTTAACCATAGTCCACTGTAGTTAAACACATTAACACATCACGACCATCCAAAAATGATGGAAGTGATGGAGAGACAGCTGGTTCCATCAAAACAGGACATAAACCCCAATGGTCAGTCCAACTCTCTCCATCACCGTCCCTTTCATCAGACAATCATGAACCCAATGGACAATGGTCTCCCGTAGTCCATCAGACAATAGTGCATTTTACCTAAAAGAAAAATGAAAGAGTAATGGCAAAAGGAAAACATGAAACTCCAAAAAGAACGTTAAACAAAGTTAGGAGAAAGAAACCTGTTTCGGGTTACATAATCCCGAATGGAAGCTGGCATCTGATTTGTGTACATATCAAGATACTTTCTATGGAAAAAAGCTGCCTTGGAAAGGACCATGCTGTATGTACCCATCCACCAAACAGACCACCAACCCCCATACGCATAATACATTTCATCTTCTTTCTGCAAAATAAGAACTTTACATCAGATGCAGTTTCATATTTTTTATAGTGCAGACACACACATATATGAGTTCTCAGTCTCTGCTGAGGTGATATATTTCCTTACAGATCTTCACACTACACAAAATCCAAGTCATTCTCCACTTTGTAAAAATAGAAAACCAAACCTAGTCCATGTAACTCAAATTTATTGGGCATTCCCACCTCACAAAGCATTAAACAAAAGAAAGAATCTAAAATTACGGATATCCGAATTTACTGAAGGATGGGAGAACCAGCTATCCAGGATTCATAAACAAAGGAAAGTGATTAACACCATCTGTGGATTGTCAAATGAGAGGCTGTCTACTCCATCATCGTAGCCTACTTGCCTCTAAAACTTGTAGCTTATGAAGACACAGACAACAAGAAGTCACCATAATCCTAGTGGTCTACTATTGATATTCATCAACTAGATCGCAACATCCTGGAAGTCGGTGTAATATCACATTAACAATTAATTCATAATGAAATTTCTATGCTGTTAACCACTCCATTAAAAAGATATAGTTAATGACAAATCCACGTCAAATAAGTTTACTAACCGGTTTGGAAAACATCATATAATTGTACAGGTTCTATGATCCTTTTTGTTAGCAGTCATGTAATTACGATATTTATAACAATCAGAAAGCTAATAGTGCCAGCTTGGACAAGAAGACCACACTTAGTTATAAAAGAATTTGTGTTTAGGGGATACTAAGAACACTTGGATTGCGCTAGGATCTGAATACATTAAAGATAAGAAAAGCATAAGATACACATCATGTGGATGCTGTACAGTAGACTTAAGGGGCGTCCACCTTCTGCTTTCAAGATGAATGTGTGTGAACAGGCGTCAGAAGTCATGGAGAACCAGAGCAGAACTATGGTTCATCCCACCCATCCATCTTGATAACAAACGGCGGATGCCCACCCATGTAGTGTATATCATAGACATCTATCCATCTTGACAATGTACGGTGGATGCCCCACTATGTATGGTATGCCATATCCATCATCTGTATGTCATACTTTCCTAAAAGATAGTTCATTTTGACTGTGAATCCAAATCATGCTACAATCTTATGGTATAAAAAACAAGCCCTCGGACTTTGGAACCAAGACTACATAAACAGGAGTTTTGGTTTCTTATGGGGGAGAAGCAAGAACAAGAACACAGAGTCCACACTAAGATCATGTTTTGAATACATTAAAGATAAGAAAAGCATAGGATATACATCATGTGGATGTTATACAATATACATAAGGGGCGTCCACCTTCTGCTTTCAAGATGAATGAGGGAAGTGAACAGTAGTCAAAAGTCACGGAGAATCAGGGCAGAACTATGATTCATCCCACCCATCCATCTTAAAAACAAATGGTGCATACCCACCCATGTAGTGTATATCATAGACATCTATCCATCTATACAATGGATGGTGGATGCCACGCTATGTATGGTATGCCATACGCATCATCTGTATGTCATACTTTCCTAAAAGAGTCTGTCCCCACTATGAATCCAAATCATGCTACAATGTTATGATATACAAAAGAATTCCTTGGACTTCGGAACCAAGACTACATAAACATCAGTTTTGGTTCTTATGGGGGAGGAGCAAGAACAAGAACACATTTCACAATTTCCCATAAAATGAAAAGCTGACTTTTTCTTTGATTGGCAAAACACAACAAGACTAACAACCCCAAAAAAATGATTTGGGTGCACAATAAAAAGATTGGAACAAGAGGTGGCTTACTGTTTTATCCAACCAATGCATGCGAGGTACAAACCCCACCATGGTATCAGGTGCACTTTGCCATACGCTATAAGCAAACTCCACTGTGGGGCATGGGAAGACAACATCATCATCAATTGAGAAAATAGCATCCGTCTCTAAATCTTTAATGACTTTGAACCTATTATTCAGGCTGTCCTCTTGATTAATGTCAAAATGCAAATCAACTTCTCTTCCATTTATCGATTTCAACTGCAAAACATGGTGCAGAAAACCCCGAAGGGAATCTGTCGGGGGATCAGGTTCACTCCAAACTATGTGTATAGAATGAAGACCACTACAGGATGAATAGTGTTCCACAGATTGCTTCAAAAGGTCATTTCTCTTCCATGTATTGATCAAAATGGTGTATCCTTTCCTGTACACGGCAAGATAGTGAACCATCGAAATCAACACCCACAATTTGGCATCTAATTAATGGGTGACATGTAGAATTTTTTTCAAGGATCAAAATGGTGTATCCTTTCCTGTACACGGCAAGATAGTGAACCATCGAAATCAACACCCACAATTTGGCATCTAATTAATGGGTGACATGTAGAATTTTTTTCAAGGAAATGATATAAGCAAGGAAACAATTATGAACATGCCCATCTTTCTCTTACGAACTGCCCTCCTTATAGTTACAAAATATACACAGTAGAACACTAGCCGTTTGAATAAAATTTCTTTTTGAGAAGCATGGAAAACATTTCTTACTGCAACATGTAACCATCTTTTTGACAAGGTTTACAACTTCTAAAAAAAAAATTAAAAAAAAAAAAAAAATTGGCCTAAAGCGTTCCCCTTAAAACAATATGAACGTACAATTTGACTTGACCAACCAAACCAACGTTAGCAAGGTAGCAAGCAGTTGATACATAGATCCAACAAGAAAACAACAAGATATGCTGCAGAAAAGAGCACCTAATGTAAAGCGTTGTGACATGTCACCCTGAGATGGTTCTGTTAGCTCATCAAGTGAAGTTAATTCGCGAATCACAAAAATCAAGCCACCAAACCATGCAGAGGCAAAAATCAGTGCCCACCGTCCATATATCATATTATCAAATTTATAGATTAACAACATGATAAGACATTAACAAAAAAAAAAAAGGAGACTGAAAATACCAAAAATTGCACCTTTTTTATAAGTAACTTTTTTTGATACTCAAGAGAGCATAGGTATCACATGGGACAAAACACAAGCATGTGAGAAAAATATGAAGGCTCAATTGTTTTTATTGTTCTAAATATATATATTAAAAGATTTTTAATCGAAAAGTGATTCATTTAAAAGTTGAATTAACTTTGAATAAAATTCCAGCTTTTACCCATTGGTCTATTGTTCTAAATACAAATCACAAGACTTTTAAAGATTCTTTCCATTTAATACTTCAATTTAACTTTAAATAAAAAATTATTGTACCTCCCGAAGTATAAACAATTTTGGAGCCTCAAATGTATTTCTAGAAAATTGGAGTCTTAAACTAATAAAATATGTTGAATATTGATAAATATTTGGAAACAAAAGATGATCAAAACAAATACTACAAGCTAAATTGGCTTATTCTTTTTATGGTTCCAAATACACATTAAAAACTTTGTAGTTTAAAAATGATTCATGCACTTAAAACTTATATTAAACTTTATATAAAATTCCAGCTTTTGCCCACTGTTTAACATTCTAAATACATACTAAAATATTTTTAATGATTTTTCCATGTCAAGTTTAATTATCTTTAAATAAAATTCAACCCGCTTTATTGCACCTCCCAAAATCTTCTTATGTAAATAATTTTAGAGTCTTAAACAAGTAAATAAATTGAATATTTATAAAAATCTGGAAATAAATCTTTAAGAAGAAAAGTTGAGGAAAGTTTCAATACCAAATTTCCACTTTTTATAGTTCGTCATCTCCAATATCTTAAATAAACTATACAAAAAAAAAAAACACATTTCTTTCTAATATTCTCAATTGCTAGAGAAAAAAAGCTCAAATACTATACACAAAAAGATTCACTTAAATAATACGCATTTTACTCATACGCAAAAATCACATGTGCATGCACTTAACATTAAAATTGGGTGAAAGTCTCAAAGAATACACTATGTGCATGCACTTAACATTCAAATTGGGTGAAAGAATCCAAATATTTTCTCCTTACATAAATTTTGTGAAAGCATCCAAAGGTTCTCTCTACATAAAAATTGTATCAACCTTTCCAATTCTCTCACGCACCACGCGTGCATGCGCACATGGGATTAATAGCTCGCATGAACTGGAAAAATGCAAAAAGAAAACCAAATAGGGCTGAAAATATTAATTGGCAATAGGAAAATAATTATACTCATATGTGAGTATACTATAAACACTTGAAAATCTTGCAAACAGTCAGTCCACATAACTTATCAAGGTATATTATTTTTAGGACTTGAAATTTTTTTTTTTTCTTTATTTCCGCTCATCTTGAGGTTGAGGTGATAAATTGGAGCAAGAAAAGGTTCCCTATGTCAAGTCCCTCCTTGAAACCCCCTTCCTAGCCTAAGAATCAGCAGCCTTAATTGGTGACCCTTAGAACATGAAGAAAGGAGATAGCCAACGAGACGTGGATCCCAAAGATTTCTCTAGTGTTTGGAATCACTGCCTCTTTGCTCATTAGGTCACCCATCTAACAACATTCAACAAGGCACTCTCTGCAACCAGAGGCCCTTACATGTCTTGTAAGGCCATTCCCGATCTTATTCAATAAAATTTTAGTTCCAACTTGATTAAAAAAAATGCCCAAGAAATGCCTTTAGAACTTTAGAACATATCTTCGCCGTCACTGGAAATACTACCAATGCCAAAAGGACCTAGATCACCCAAGGAGCTCCCATCAAAGTTACGCATCAAATTCCTTTCAGTGGCTTACTTGTTGTGCCTTGGGCTTGGTCTCATAGAAACTATTGTTTTCCAATCTTGGAACCAGTTCGTAAAGCCCATAAGCAATATTGCTATCCGATCTTGTGCTAAATTTAATAACCTAATACAATGGAACTCTCACTTAGCCATTCCCCAAGAAAAAAGGGATGCCCAATGTAGTGGTAGCCGATACACAATTCCCCAGGATCTAAAGGAAGCCAAATTAAGTTCACAACCAGAGAACAATTCTATTGTTTCGAGGTTAGTGATTGTTGAAAAAAATTGCTTCGTGGGACAGTAATCACATCCAATGCGATAACCGTGGGTGCAAACCAGTAAGTTAAAGGTTGCTGGTCCTGAATTTTGGCATGATACGCCAGGAGCTAAAAATAGAATGGAACACTTACTCCTCCATTATAAAAGACTCGTAGTCCATCACAAGTTAATCAATGGAATTTAGGAGTACTTCCAAGATTTCTTCAGGATTATATAGGTGATTTTACGAAATCCACAAGTCCTGTGAATACGCTAAATCAAGGATTGATGGTCCTTCCTAAAATATGGCACATCCTTCTAATTTTTGGAAAGTTTTGGTTAGAACAAGAGCTGTGGTAGTGGTCAAGAATATGAATGATAAGATTGAGCATGATGAATAACCGTGGGATTAGTGCACTACATCATTGAAGGTTGAAAAGAGAAGTTGTGAAGCCCAAACTGGATGGGTACACTTGTAATCCGTTGTGACTCACAAAGGTCGAAGAGATCGATTACACAGGAACTGGTTTAGGCCCCTCCTTAATGGCATTAGGATGTTTGCATCTCCATCTTTTAGTTTCCAAGTCATGTAGGATGACTTTGTTAATGTAATCAGGTGGCTTAGTTAGGAGCGATGTTAATGTAATCAGATGGGTTAGTTTGGAGTGGATGAGGCCATGGAGATTGGTGGATTTTTCAGCTAATCACTTATTTAGTGATTTCTTAATTAAGCCAGTGAAGTGGAAGATGCTCGTTTAGTAGATTTCCCCTCTGTTATACCATTAATAAATGCATTTACGTTTTCATACAAAAAACAAAAGACAAACTCATCAGCGTGCCAAACAAAAAGCTCCATCGCCAACAGGTTGAACCCCTTACATAAGTAGCTACAACCCATGGTTCAAGGCTTGAACTCCCTACGCTGGAGAAATCCAGCCTCCACAAAAAAATAAAAGATAAAAAATTGGGAAACGACAAGTTTATTCGTAATCTCATGAAAGCATAAAAATCCATACACGCATCAAGTACATACAACAAAAAGAAGACCAATAAATATTATTTATTGCCCAGAAATCTTCCCAAATAATAACTAGATGATGCCTGGTAAAATTATAAAAATGAACCATGACATAAATTTTAGCAATTTTACAATGTTTTCAAACGTAGATATGGCACAAATTCCATTTATTTGTGTCTCATAGTAGCAACCTAATTTCCATATGAAACTATATGCAAAACAATTATCCAAAGATTAAACTTTCTAATCAAGCATCAATTGATTTTGAAAGGGAAAAAAAGAGTTAATAAACCAATCGAGTCAACAGAGGACATAATACATAGTTCATTTATTACTATTTCATAATACTCCCAAGTTCAAATCTCACCGGACCAAATAATAGATAATGATTATAATAATGATAGTAGTAGTGATTCAAGTGTGCTGATACGACTTGTCCCTTCCCCAAAATTCACATACAATATCATAATGTGTTTATGTTGGTTGTGGAGAGAGAGAGAGAGAGGGGTTGGTATAAGTTGGGGTCCATTTACCAAAAATAGTATTTGTTATACATAGAGAAATAGTATTTGTTATACATTGAGAAAATAAACAATCCACAACCCACATGAGCCATAAAAATCACAAAAATAAATAAAAATCCAGATGACCAAAATTCAGATGAATTTCGAAGAAAAACAATATAAACGAGCTATTAAGAATGAATTAGTACAAGCAAAATCAAAGAAACTAAAGGAATACAAATTCAACACTTTAGACCCCAAAACCCAAACCCGAACCAGAAGAAGAAGAAGAAGAAGAAGAATCCTAACCCTAGAGGCAAAGATCCCTGCTTCAAAGGCTTGTGTCTCCATCCCATGAAATTAGCAGCCCTACCTGCGACCACAACCAGCATGAACAAAACGAAACATGGAAGCAAAAGCTTAACCCTAACTGATCCCAGGCCGATCAAGGCCTGCCTCAGCCTCTGAACCAGCCTTCTACTATACCCCCCTCTCATCACCACCATCTGAGAGAACACCACACAAAAAACTAGATCTAATGGTCCGGCACATGTTTCAAACCCCCAAAAATGGCGATTTCTCTTTCCAGCCTTTGCAACTGCAGAAACTAGAGTTGGAAAATGCCCCCAATTCCATCGAAAGAAGGGCCAATCACCGGAGGCGATTTTCTCATTAAGATTCTGTCAAAATTAGGGTTTCTGAGGAGGCGGCGGCGCCGCCCGTGACTTAAAAGAATCGTTGTCGGAACCAATAATTAGAGGAAGGTAGAGAAGCGGTCCAAAATATCGTATTTGTCCTTTTTCGGCGAAAAATAATAAGGAATAGAATTGGAATCTGGAGCCGAAATGTCGGCGAATTAATGGAGTTTTGAATTGGGTTGCAGCCGGGCTGGTACTAGCGTGTGTTCTATGCTCCCGCGGGAGCGTACTGTGCATCTACTCGCTCGATCGGAAGACCTATTTGGGAGGAGTTTTTTCAGTCTTCAATTTTGGGAACCACCAAACAATCGCCAGATGGAAGTGCGAATTTTTAGTTTACTAACACTTAGATCTCCCCCTCCAAATATTGGACTGTCTTTATTCAATCTTAAGACATTTCTCTTTTTAAATGCATGGACTGCAATTAAGAAACCAAAAACAATATTGAAAGGTGAGGCCCTAAACAATCAAGGCATGCCTAAAAAATTCATTAGATCGAGATGTATGGACAATCTTAATACATTTCTCTTTTTAAATGCATGGACGGCAATTAAGAAACCAAAAAAATATTTAAAGGTGAGGCCCTTTAAATTGGAGGCATGCAAAGCCTTTATAAAATAAACATTACACTCATCCCAAAAGCGACATGCATGCATGAGTTGGAGGTGCAAAAAATGAGGTCACTAATGATGTAGCACTCTAATTAAGATCAAAATGTGGGTGGCCCACGGTGCCTTTTCTTTTGTCAAAATCATAAAGAAATAATTAAATAAAAGTAAAAATCAAGTACCATTTTAGAAAAATGTTGGCTTGTGAATCGGTGATGTATTCGATTTTTTTATGATAGAACAATGCTCGAGGGAATGTTGTTTGGATCTTCATATATTGAGAGATCTGAATCACCATAAATTAATTTTAATCTAGATAGGGCAATCTGGATCGCCAAAATTTCAAACTTTAGGTTCACACAATTAAGTTTAAGCCTTACATGAACCCCACCATTTGTTAATCTTTTTTTTAAGATAATCAAAGGCGTGATTGATATAAGCATGAAATTTTTATATGTTTAAATAATAAGCGGTGCGTTTGCCACAAAGATTGGACTTTTACTTTAAAAATTGAAACATAATTCAAAGCCCACCTGAAAAACATAGTCACAAAACTTTGAAAATCTATTTATGCCCCGGATTAATAAATTTTATGCTTCAAATATGATGTAGTGGCCTAACTTTGAACATTTGAAAATGGACGTACTAAATATAATAGGTTACAAGATAAACGATTTTAAAGCTTTACAAATTGTATATTTCGATCAATTTGAGGCTTTTCTAACACTAAAACTGCATTTCAAGGTTGGGTTTCGAAATGGCCGTACATTTTATTATATAAAATAGATGCCTTATATAATTTTTTTCCCAATAAATAGCATGATGAAGTTTTGGTAAGGCAGCACTTTTACAAAAGTCGGTAAGGCCGCATTCAATAATCTAAAGAATGAAAATAAGCACCTAAAATTCCAGAGATGGCTTGAAAATCCATTTCCTCCATGGCTGTGACATTTAAAGCTCTACATTGATGCGAGCATATATGTGAGACTTGAATTCGGTTGTTCAACAATCGAAAAAAAATAAAATTGTTTTTTTTTTTAAATTTCGTTATAATATGAAAAAAATGGATAGATATGTAATAACAGAAACTATTCGATAGTTTTATAATAACGCAAATTATATCAGATATATACATAATTTTTCTTTTTTTTTTATATCCATAATTATCAAGCCCATTCAAATTTAAAAACGAAGGGAATGTTATTGCCATCGTTATGATGGAAGTTATATTTGTTATAACGCCTCGATATTGTAACCTTTATTCTCTCTTTCTACCTTATTCAAAATAGAGACCCTTAGTTGTTGTAAAGACGTTGAGCCCCTTTGTTCCGGTAGGAGTATAGTGTTTATATGATCCATATGTCGGAATACCTATTTGAGATGATTTTTCAAATTTGAAATTCCACTTAAGAATTATTAGATGGTTATTCTTAAAAGAAAAAAAAAAAATTGAAATGGGAGTTTTTTGATACTTAGATCTCACCTTTTAAAAATTGAACGCTCTCTAATTAATCCTGAGATCTCATTTTTTTCCAAGTATATTGAAGGTGTAATTGGGAATTTTTTTCATTGAAGTAATTCATCGGTTGAAGAAGTTACATCCCCAAAATTTTAAATTCTAAAATCAAAGGAAAGTTGTGGATAATCGAAAATGAACTTTGTAGACATTCTAACTTCAATATTTTTAGTATCACACTCATAACCCATTTGTTGTGTTTTTTATTGATTTTAGCCGTTCAAAAAGTCATTGTTTTAAAGACTAAACTATCTTTTCCATCTTTTATACTACCAATTAAATCTCTACCTACCCACTTTATATCTGCCCTCTCTTTTTTCTCTCTACCTGCTACTTTTTATTTCTCTCTACCCGCCCTCTCTATTTCTCTCTACTCGAGTAGAGAGAGGGCGATGAGAGAGAAAGGGAGAAGGTAGACCTACCCTCTCTTTCTGCCCGAGTAGACAAGGCGAGTAGAGAGAAAAAGAGAGAGAGAGCAGGTAGACCCACCCTCTCGCACTACCTGAGTAGAGAGAGGGCGAGTAGAAAAGACATGTAAGTAATTTATTTTTTAAAACAATGACTTTTTTAATGTTCCATTCTAAGAAGGGTAAAAATAAAAGAAAACAATAATTGGGCCATATCCATAATTTACTCTAAAATTAATATTAAATGAAAAAATTAAATCCCCAACATTTAGGATTTTAAAATTAATCCTAAATGGGTATGACTCGGGGGATTTAAAAACCATTATACTCCCGGCATGAGCATGATATCATTACTTTCAAAAGTTGGAAACAATTTCATGGTATATTTTTTATTTTTCTCGTCAGTTCATCCATGGAAAGAGCCATGGCTCAGTTCATCCATGAAAAGAGCCATGGCTCACTTATCAGCTTTAATCACATGGCTGAAGAACTCTGCCACTAGGCCAGCAAAGTGTACTCTCTCTCTATTATACACCAAGGCATCATCTCTCTCTCTAAAACAAGGTGTATCCCTATCCCCTTCCTTTCTCTCTTCAGTGGTGGAGGAAGACAGCTCCATGTCTCTCCAAATGGGGAAAGCATATTCTCTCTCTCTCTCATAATGGACACCAAGGTAGGTTACATGCCAATGGTATCAGCAGTGGATAATGCTCTTTCTCTAAATGGAAGGTCGTGATTAAAGATCTTATTTTTGTTGGGATGTGGCTTTACCACTCTAGTTTGGAGGGCTAATAAGGTGCATCCTGTTGCTAACTTTCTTAGATTCTAGAAAGTCGATGAAAATTGGTAACCTAAAAACTGAGGGCCTGATTGATAAAGTGTGTTGGGGAAACTAGTATATATATATACATATATAAAAGTAATTTTATGTAACGGTTGTATAGTAATATAATGAAACAACATTAAAAAACCATATTAAGGGCATTTGTTGGATTCAAAATTTAAAATATTCATCACTTTCATTCTAAAGAACAATTACAAAAAAAAAAATTGAAAATGCAACCTATAAAGTATTTTTTAGCCCAATTAATATAGGTTGTCTACTTTGGTGAGATGCTTAGATCTAGACCTTAGAATGATCTTTTTTCTTTTTAGATTTTTTAGATATTTTTTTTTATCATTAGATTAACAATGTTAAAAAAAAATAGATTTTGAATTCGTGAAGGCCTAGATATTGAAATTCATCAAATGTAAGATCTATATTCATTATTGGAGGGGACTCATTTTGATCATATATAGTGTACAAATTATAGAAAATGATTTCGAATTCGTGAAGGCCTGGATCTTAAAATTCATCAAATGTAAGGTCTATATTCATTATTGGATGGGACTCATTTTGACCATAGATATATATATATATTATATATATATATATATATATATATATATATATATATAGTATATATATA